CACAAATTCTACAAGTCCTCACCCCATGACTGCATGAGGCTTTGGGGGGGACAACTAGACACAAACCATAACACTGGGCCTGTCAGGTTGCTGATGGCTCCCTCCCCTCTGCCATGAGTGCAGGGCCCTGTCTGGCCTAATCACCGCTGCATCCCCAGCTCAGAGACAGAGCCTGGCCCAAAGGGGACAAGAAATACTTGTGGAGTGCACAAATCCATCTTCATCTCCCTACCCCAGGCCTTGCACAGCCACACTGAGGAAGAGAGTGATGCGGTTCCAAGACAAGCAGGAAATAAATCTTCATGCTCTGTACTACCGACCTTGCTAAATACAGACTCCTGGCTCACCCAGTCCTCCCTCCTGTGCCCTCTGCAGCAGGAGAGGAAATTTCCAGCACTGCTAGATGCTAATTTGTTCCTGTCTGACTCTTGGGAGCCAGGAGAGAGATCGGAGGCACGTTTGGTCCTCAAACAAGCTTTCTGCCGGCAGACCCTGGAGGAGCCAGGCTGGGGCTGGGTCCTCAGAGCTGGCACTCTCGGTGGCAGCAGTGGGTGGGTTCCTGCTGCTCACAGATGGGTCCCTGTTCCCACGCTGAGTGTTGCCTTTGGCCTGACAGGCTCCCAGCACAAGAGGGACTTTGTGAGGCTCTCAGCCTTGCTATTTTTACTCTCTGACTTCTGGGCTTTGCTTCCTGTTCCCTCAAAAAAAAAAAAAAAAAAAAAAAAAAAAAAAAAAAAAGAATAAAGAATAAAAAGCACAAGCAAGGAAGGGCTGCAGAGCCATTTGAAAGGACACCTGTGGCTTGCGCCACTGACCCTTCACCCCATTCTGCACGTGACAGTGCCTCCAGTGAGATGACCGGAAAGTGGGGGGACACGTCTTTGTGCAAGGAGGCCCATGTGTGACAGCCTGCCAGGGAAGCGTACCTGTGCTGCTGGATCCAGGTCCCCAGGGTGGCTCAGAGGTCAAAGCCAGGCCTCTTGCTGAATGTTGGCGCCATCACTGAATACCTGCTTGCCCTCGGTGAGGTCGGATGGCTGGACTCCCAGACTCAGCCTTGCAGTCGTGGTTTTGTTTCCTTTCCTATTTATACATTTATTTTCTTCCCTAAGCTGTCCATGTGGTTGTTCTTCAGGTCTCTGAAAAAGCAAAATCAGTTTCTACCTCAGGACACAGCTTACCTCCTTGGCTTTAAATTTATCTGCTGCTGTCTCAGCTGCCTATCCCTAAGTAATGCGATTTAGGCTCTAAACCCATGGAAATGGGTTCACAGTGGCGCCTCCCTCAGAGGGTCACTGTGAATGCAGGGAAGGGCATGTGAGCCTCACCGGCCATTCCTTGTCGGTATCTTTTTATAATGTCACAGCAGCAGAAAGACCCTCAGGCTTGAGCCCTGCCTGTCCTGGATCCAGCCTTGCCTCCCAGCTGGGACTGATGTGAGCATAAGCTGCAGTGAGGTCTGAAAGTGTGCGGCCCTTCGTGCTGAGGAAGGTTCCAGCCCAGATTGTGAAATTTTTTTCATTTTGTTATTGTGTATATGTGTGTGAGGGAGAAGAGAGGAGGGGAGAGGAGAGAAGGACAGAGGAGGGCAGGGAAGGGGATGGAGGGGGAAAGGAGGGGAGGGGAGGGAAGGGGAAGGGAGAGGAGGTAAGGGCAGGGGATGGGAGGGGATAGGAGGGCAGGGCAGGGGACAGAAGGGGAGAGGAGGGGAGGGGAGGGGACAGGACAGGAGGGGACTCTAGGAGTAAACACATAGTTTAACAAGTAACTACAAAGGGAGCATTTATGTCACCACCACCAAAGTCGGGAAAGAAAACATTTCTTATACTACAGAAGGCCTGGACGTGCCCTTCTCTGATCAACTCTGTTCTCAACTTTGTGTGTGTGTGTGTGTGTGTGTGTGTGTGTGTGTGTGTGTGTGTGTGTGTATTTTAGGACAGGGTGTACAGGGTGTTCAGGGTCTCATTAGGTAGATCAGACTCGTAGTGACCCACCTATTTACAACTTCCCAAGAGCTGGGATTACAGGCTTGTGCCACCATACCCAGTCTCAATTGCCATCTCAGTGCAACCTGGGGGTGGGGCTGGCACAGCAGGCCTGGGGATTGAACGCCCAGCCCCTGTGTCTGCCTAAGCAGGCTCTTTAATCCACTGACCTATTTGGCCAGCCCTCCAGATATTTGTTAATGTATATTTTTCATTTTTAAAATTTTTTTAAAAACTTTTATTTATTTATTTACCTATTTGTTTATTTATTTGATCCAGGGTCTCACTATGCAGCTTGGACTGAGAGTGATCCTCCTGTTTCAGCCTCCCCAATGCTGGGATTAGCAGCATTTGCCACCATGCCAGGTTTTGGTGGCCGGCATGGCATGCCCGGGGTTTCAGGGCTGGTGCGGTACCTGGGATTGAACCTGGGTCCTTGTACTTGCCAGGCAGGAACTTAGACCACCGAACTGTCTCCCCAGCCCAATCTGTACCTTCTTATAGCTGCATCCTTACATTTCTTTTCAGTTTTCTATTGCTTTTACTGTCTATGTCTGTATCCCTAAGTAGTGTGGTTTGGTTCTTGAACTTTATGTGAATGGAAATGCAGTGCACAAATTCTCTTTTGTTTTCCTCTGTCTCATCAGTGGCATATTTGTGAAATTCATCCATATTGTTGTGTGCACCTGTACTTGGCTCATTTTTGTTGTTTATTTATTCTGCTGTACTTTATGTATTCATTCTGCTGTGCTTGGTTGCCTGGCTTGTTTTGCGTTTTGGAGCTGTTTTAATGATATTCTTACGCCTGTGCTACCTGGTGCACACACATCTGTTCTCTGGGGTATTACTGTGTGTGGACTTGCTAGGTCATAGTGTACAGATACCTTCAGTTTTACTAACCACTGTAGTCCTAGTTTTTTCAAGGGAATCATCCCGAATTACCCTTTTACTAGCAGTGATACAGGTTCTCGTTGTTTTAAATGCCTGCTGACAATTGAAATTGTAGTAGTTTTAATTTTTGCCACACTGATGGATATGTAAGGATATGTAAAATGTATTGTGATGTGACATATTTTAAATATCCTGGGAGCTTTCTCTGGATTCATTATTACAGCAAAATCTCAGCATGAACTTAGCATATAAACCAGATAAATGTGGCACTGGTTTGGTTCAAGACAACAGCTGATTCCTGCCAAGCAGCACAAAGCCCCTTGTGCTACCCTCAAGCTGCCTCTCCAGGCAGCCCACTTGAAATCTCTTGCTCTCTGCCTGTGGTCTGGCGTGATTTCATATGCTGATGGTGCATGTGGGTCTTTTCCACACATGCTAAGGCAAGACAGTTCAGACCTCAGGCCTCTTTCCCACAGAAATGGTAAATAGGAGTTTCGGTGTGCCCTTTCCATAGCCCCAGAACTCCCTGTGTATGAACACAAGGATGGAGTAGAGGAACCTGCTTGCTAGTGCTTTCTCCAACCTAATTCCAAAGCATGAATTTTACCTCACACATCCTAATGGAGATGCTGAGAACAAAATTGCAATAAAAACAACCCCTCCACCTCCTCAAAAAGGGACAGGGAACAGGAGTGTAAACACATGTAGTCAGAGTTGTTTTCTGCAAAATTTGGTTAACTTAAAATTATAGAATCATGCTTAATTCTCGGGGGGGGGTTCATCATAATTTGAGACTGGTGGCAATTTTGCCTCTGGCAGACTTAAATGAGAAAAGTGGATGCTGGGATGCCAGACAACTGCGCAAATGCACATCTGTGCCCGTGGTCTTAATCAGCCTCTTTGTTTGCTCCTCTGTTTCTTCTCATGGCTGTGGCAGCTCAGTGATGCTTACCCATGTGATGCAGTGACATTTGCACAGACCAGGGGCCACACGTGTTTCCGTTTGAATTGCAGTAAAGTGATCTGGTCTCTTTATGTGGCCATGTAAAAAAGGACCAGCCCTTAGAATAAAGTGATGCTCATGATGAGAGCTCAAGATTAAATTCTGCTTCCTGGCTATATTGATACAGCTGTCTGGGGGTCTTTTCTAATACCCCTGCATGTAGGAATTTTTTTGTGTCTCCTCTCTTCTCTAGCACTTTTATCCATTTCATATTCAACTCAAAGGCCAAGAGTAAGATTTTTAAAAGCAAGTAGTTATACACTGCTAAAATATTGCTACAGCAGGTATGTCTGAAGTTGTTCAGTGGATGTGTTCCATGTAGTTCTCAGAAGCCTTTGGGGTCTGCAGATGTCACTTTTAGCTGTAGTCTCCAACATTCTCTCATCTCTCACAACCACTGTCATGCATGGGTTACATTCCTGGCCTGTTGTTAGACTCAGTCTGTCCCCTTATTGAACTCCAGGGCCTTTCCAGTTTGCTTTCCCTGGGAATGTTCTGCATGCAGGTTAGAATTCTAGAATATTTAAAAGTCATTAAAATTTTGTCGATGTTTACAGTCAAATGGGAAGTGTTGTTTAAATGCATGAAAGGTATTAATACTCTTCATTTATAGAAAGTGGTGACAGGGGGCCTGCCCCTTAGCTCAGCTCTTTAAGTGGCTGCTTCAACAAAGCAGTCAGGCTCAGGTTGCTGTGGTTCGATCCCCACAACTCAAGCCAGCCAAACCTGCCCTGAAGGCATTCAGAGCAAAAAAGGAAAAAAGAAAGTGGTTACAGGAAATTATCTGAGCTCACAGCTGGAGATGCTATGTGATGCTAGCAAGTAAATCTTACTAATGGACAAAGGGAGCCAGTAGATTCTATGTGTCACTGTGTGAAATTTGCTTGGGTGGTTGATTCTGGTTCATACGTTAGTTTCTTCCTCAGGGTCTTGGAGCTGTAGGATGTTCTTAATAACAAAGTCTGTGTCTGCATTTCAAGCATAAGCCTGCCTTCCCAGTTCTTTTCCAGAATGGTTGAACTCGTCTCATTTAGATTCTAGGGTTCCCCTGGTAATTGGTACTAAAATTGCAAGGCTTGTTTCCTCTTTTAATAAAACCTGTTCTTTTTTCCAATTCTCAGCAGATATCTGGAGTGATCAGTCATTTCACACAGATCCGGATCTTCCACCAGGCTGGAAAAGAATCAGCGACATCGCTGGCACCTATTACTGGCACATCCCGACGGGAACTACTCAGTGGGAACGGCCTGTGTCCATCCCGGCGGATCTTCAGGGTTCTAGGAAAGGGTCTCTTAGTTCTGTAACGCCATCTCCCACCCCAGAGAATGAGGTAAAATGGAATGTCTTCTTACCAGCTTACTAGAGTAGATGTAACTTGTGATTTCTCTTCAGACTAGTTGCTTCTGTCCCAACAGGTCATTGAGGTAAGCTTTTTAATTATCATGCATGTTGCATTTGAAGTCTGAGCAATGCTTCCTCTTGGTAAATAATGTTAATATCCATTTTTCAGGGGGTGTTTTCATTTTTAATGGGTTTTGGTCTCTTGAAACACTGTTCTAGGTTTAGAAAGCAAGAGGGACTGATTAACTTGAAGTGCTTAAGATTCCCTAGGGTTCCCAGTGGCAGTAATTTACTCTACAGGTATCGTTTCATGGTGCTAGCTCAATAAAATATTTACATGTAGAAGAATGTCTCTTGGCCAGGCATGTTATAATTACCATGTATCTTGTTCACCCTGGGTTTGTTTTCTAGCATAGAGAAGCATCTGTAGGAATAACCCTTGAGAGCCCTTGAATGCTTAATTTCTATTTTAAAAGGACCTGTTTATTTAGCAAAAGTGACATTATTTTAGAAATAATTAGCAGCATAAATTTGTGTTTTCCCTGCAGAAGAAATCTGGATGTTTAAGCAAAGAATTGAGGCATTAAAACATTCCATTGTGGTATATATTAGTATGAAGATTCGTGCAGTGAACCTTAAGAAATCCTGCTAACAGGACATGCAAGAGAATTATAGTTGGGAAAATCACAATTAAGTATTTATTTTTATTTGTTTGTTTGTTTGTTTTTTGGAGAAAAGTAGCTTCTCTATTACTCAGGCATTTCTACATTTTTCTGATGATGATTTTTTGTTCTTTAGAAATTCCCATTTTCCTTCACTCTGAGGTCACGGAGTGCATTTGAGCTGCACCTCTTCGCCTACAGGGCTTCTATTTTTGCAACTGGTATCACCCTTCCTAGCTTTAAAAGTAGCCAATGTCTCGTTCTGTTTAATTACTTCCCTACTTACTCTTCTTGAGAAGCAGTCGGCCCACCGTCACCTCCATTATTGTTGTTCCAGATCCCCCCAGCAGCCGTAGCCTGAGCTCTTCATCTTCCAAGCGATAGGTCAGGGAGCCTGACTCTCACAGGCAGACCAGGACCTTGGGCGGTCTGTACTTTGCGCTGATTGCCAAGCGTATGCTTCGGTACTGCTGCACTGTACATAGGATTTCGTTGCTTATGAGTGGGCGATTTTGATAATGTTTTTATCAAAACACAGTCTTCCTACTCTCTTGGCAGTTCCCACTGAGTGATTGATTCCTCTTGTGCTACATGTGTTGGGAGGTGAAGGTAAACCAACAGAGCCCCGGTCCTTGCAGAGCTTGGCATGAGTGGGAGTCTCATGCTGTCACAACCCAGACGTACTTTGGCTTCTGCTGGTACCAGAGAGGTCACCAAAGGAGGGCAGTGGCCAGGAGCAGCCCCTGTTTCCACTCCAGGCAGATTTGTTCTCCTTACCTGGTCACTACTTTTCTCAATATCTCTGTGAGGGTCTTTCTTCATCTAGAACTTTCATTACCTTATCCTGGTCCTTTAATTACGTTCACTGAGTACCCTGCAATCAGAGAGTACCAGAGTAGGAAAGGCTCATCTGGTACCAGCTTCTGTATGTTACAGATAGGGAAGCTGAGACATGCAAAGGTCAGTGACCAGAAGTAGCACTGCCCATGGATTCATTGTTCATGAACTATACCCTAAAGTTCTCACTGAACTTCTCTGGCCTTGAGGTTTTTGGCCTACTCTATCTCACTTTGCTCCTGGGTTAAAGCCTAGACTGACTCCTGTCCCAGGAGTCCTGAAACAACACTGAATTCAGGCCTGCTGATCCAAGCTTCTACCCCAAGCTTTATAAAATACATCAGGAAGCCTGGAGACTCTTCATTCTCATCCTCTCCCCCTGAGGGAGGGCTATGCGATATGGAAAACCTTCTAGAAAATAACTTCTCTTAATAGCAGTGTCTCCAGTGCAAATGATAGCTGAAGAGAGATGATTATTTAACACCATTTCTTTGATCTCTAAATAGAATCTATTTCAACTAATTTTGAAACATGAGAAAAAGCAAAATGTTAAGGATGAGAAGAAACATGTAATGTGTTAGAAATGCATATTTTATTCAGCTTTTTCCTGAGCTGGCTTCAAAAGAAAAAAAATCAAGTAAATAATTGCCAAATCTGTTGACTTCACATAACTTTAAAACTGAAGGCTTCCTTACAGTTTGAAAATTTTACATTTCACATTCCAAAGTTCACTTGGAAAGTGTAAAGCGCAGTGGGTAATGTTTCCCCTGCACATGCCAGCAGTCTTTTTAAAAGTTTATTATCTGCCCAGGAAGCATTTGCTGCTGAAATTTGGCACACAGTAATTTCCCCTCCCCAAACGTTTATTTGTTCCAAATTACTTGGATATTGAATTTTAGAGTAAAGAGAGAACCACACAAGATATTTTCATGAATAACTATTGGCTTGTGGTGAAACTCTACAGTCTTTTCAAGGGAAGATATTTATTTGGGGGTTCTTCAAGAAGAAGTTACAGAGAAAATTGTGTCTGAAGCTAGGACAGATAAACTGATTCTCAGAACTGGGGCATCCTCCTGGTGGTCAGTGACTCTGGTCCTGTTGAAATGCTCGTGGCCTCTGTTCCCTGAGCAGTACCTCCCAGGAAAGGCAGACCGTAATTGCCTTAGAACCTGTGTGCGTCCATGTTTCCTTACACATCAGACACCGACCGTTGCAAAGGTCGTTCACTGAACTTCTGGACCCAGTCACATGATCATGCATTTCAGAGGTGGAGAGAGACTCTTGGAGAAAGGCCTAGGAAGCTCTGTTTCCCAGCCTGTGAGCTGGGCATGGAGGCCAGCAGGATTTCTGGGCTCATAAGACATCTGATTCTTTGGTCCATCTCAGGCCACTGAGGCAGGGGCTCTGGGGGAAGGGCCATGGAGTGTGCCTTTAGGTAAACATTTCAGGAGATTTTATGCAGAGTAGGACAGCATGATCCTCCAGAGAATCAAGTCTCTCCTTATTTTTATTTATGTATCACTTCATTGAATTCTTTGGGCTTGACTCAGCATCTCCCAAAAACTACTGCTTTTGCCCCTGTGCTTCATTCCGTCTCATCCTCTCACAGCATCCATGCTTTGGGCATGGCAGTCTCCCTCCAGAAGGCTCCTTGGAGGTTGGGCCTGGGCTGCTGGGCTGCGTCCCCAGCCCTAGCATGGTTCCTGGTATGTGCTGAGTGACAGAGAAGCCAGTCTCATAACTGAGGGACGGCTAGTGGATATGCTGACACTGCAGAGCCAGCACTGGAGTCCCAGCTCTGCTGTTCACAAGGACTAATTTAAATGCATAAGCCTTTGTCTATTTATCATTCTTGTTTTCTTAAAAAATAAATTCTCTTCGTGTGTGTGTGTGTGTGATAAACCCTCATGCTGTGCAGTGTCCCCATTTTCTTCTGGGGATACTTTCTGGCATCTCTTAGTGTCTCCCTAAAGTCCTAAGTAGTACCAAAGCAGCTGCATAGTGCGCTAGCACAACAGGGGACCACCAGGCATGCCTGTAAGTCACTAACAGGCAGGGATGGTACACAGTGTCCATTTGCTGACAGCGGATTCGTTCATTTCCCTAGAAGATGGTAAAGGATGCCGTGAGATTTCACCATGCTACTCATAATGAAGCACAATTTAAAACTTATGAATTGTTTATTTGTTATTTCTCATTTAATATTGTTGGATTATAGTTGAGTTCAAGTAACTGAAATTATAGAAAGCAAAAGCATGAATAATGGAGATTACTCTTCTAATAATTCTGCATCTACCAAAAAACAGCATTTTAGAAAGAAGGAAAATATACACATGTAACTACAGAAGGCACTCCTTTGTCTGCCTGCTTATTCTGGAGACTTCCATACTCCTGGTTTTATACCATTTCCATGTCCAGGCTCATGTTGCGATGAAACAGGATGGAAAAGAACAAGTCAAGCACTTCTTAAGCTCAGACTCCTTTCCTGCACGGAGAGAAAGAGAATATGATGAGGACACTGACCTTATCTGGGAGCTAGTTCATGTGCCAAGAACTTTTACTGTCACCTCTCTGTGTCCTCACTCAGAGAGGAGGGCTTCTTGGCCCTGTTCATCTATAAGGGAACCAAGGCCACATAGCAGAGTTAGTGGGCTCGGGACCCTGGCTTTACCTTGGGCTGTGCTGGCTTTAGAGCTCCAGTAGTACACACAGAGATGACGTGGTGACGGCCTCTGCCCAGGCCACTGCAGAATATTCTGGGGCTTTCCTCTTTCTACTTCTCAGGTTTTGCCCTTCCCCCCTGCTTCTGGTTTGCATTTTTATACCATGTCACAGAGGCATTCTTAGCATACTGAGAACATTTGTTTTGTGCTCCAAGAACAAACCACAACAGACACCAGATAAACAGAAATCTGTGGGCATGCAGTTTGCAAGGTTGGGAAGTCTAAGCTCAGGGGACCCCATTGGCAGAGGCCTTCCTAGTGCATCTTTGTGTAAGCTGAGAGAGAAGAGAACGCATGTACAGCTTCAGCCCTTTGTTAATTGGTGTTAATCTGTGCGTTGGGGCAGAAGCCCCATGATCTAGTCACCTCTCTCCCATAGGCCCCATCTCCCCACACTGCTATGCAAGGGTTGTTTCTGAAAACACCTTCTGGAGGTTCCATTCATACCATCTCATACCCTAAAGAAATTTCCTCATGGGGACACTGCAAAAACACTTGATTAGTGTTGTCAAAGGACTGACTCTGGTCTTGGCCTTTTCAGATAAGATAATGCATCAGTGTTGTATGATTTGTGGAACACTTTCCAAAAACCCGGAGAAGAAATGAGGAAGAAACAGTCTTCAGACACTGAGATGAGGGCTTACTACTGTGGGTCCTCCTTAGCTGGTCCTTTATGTGGTGCATATTCCAGGCATTAGGGCTACCCATCCTCCACGTCTGGTACGCTGCCTAACAGGTGCCAGGGCTGCTGGGCTTGAGCATAGGATGCTGCAACCTCAGCAAGTCAGGACAAGCACGAAGAGACTGTGTCCCCAGGGACAGCTCTGGTACCAGAGCATGGCTTGGCTATAAGGGGCTTTCCCTTTATCTCTTGGAAGGCCTCTCATTGGGAGGTCATTACCCAGGAAAGAGAGTCTCTGTCCTTTGCCAGCCAGCTTCCTGGCTGTTTCCTTCTCTTATCTGAAGCATATTGCTCAGCCCATCTTTTCTGATTTCATTGCTTTCTCTTCATCGTTTCCTTTATTGCACCTACCCTACTACTAAGACTGTAGGTTAGGATGCTGTACACTTTGGTAGAACCAAAAAGAAGCTCTTGTGGTTTAAAAACAAATTATTAGCTAAATGTAAAAATTATACTCTCTTGAAAACACTTAGATGATGGTCTGTGTAGCTTTAAAATTTAAGACACTTTTTGTCCTTTATTGACTACAAAAAAGGAAAAACTATGGCTACTTATACTGGGGAGAAAATTTTTCATCTGTGATATAAATAAGCATTCTTAAGTACAGGAGGGGAAACAAGGTCTGGAGCCCAATCATAATATACATAATGCCAATTTTCATTTTTCGTTACTTGAGTTTTATGGTAAAACATCTCCCTAGGAGTGCCCATGTTATTGTAAGGTTTTGCAAAATCTCTGGCAGGACCATTGTTTATTTAAATCTGTGGAAGGTGATTGTTGGAAGGTGGCCAACCAACTCAAGCTCTGTAACATAGAGCTGGCTTTATATAGGCCTAAAACCGGTCAGCTTTCACTGTACAGAGACTCCAGTGTATACTGGTAAAAAATCACACATGCTCAGAGACCTATTTTCATTAAGTGCTGAAGCTTTTCTGGACTCTGGTGTTAGAAAACAGTCCTTTCAAAGAAAAAAAAATGAGAGGAAATAAAGGAAATAAGAAGAAGAGGGTTTGGAGAGAAGGGATGGAATGGAAAAGAAAAAGAGGGACTACGATACATCTTGAACAGGCAGATTCCCTATGATGAATGTGATTATTATGTCTATCTAAATTGTGCCAATAAACTTAAATTTTAAAAAAAGAAAGAAACATTTCTTTCCTCCTCTCCATTCCTAACACAGAGCCCCTCTTGAAGGACTCCTGGCTCTGCTTTTCTTTTTCAGGCCCCCTCCCTCTCATGTGTCTTTGAATTCTTCTTTGTAGACACAGCTCTCTTGAGTGTCCCAAATTCATGGTCTCACAGTCTTTGTCAGAGTTCAGCTTAAGTAAACATTTGGCTCACCTGTAAAGCAAGGGTGACAATTTGAGCCACCCTCATTTATTTTCTGCTTTAGAAAAGACATTCTAGGGCTGGTGAGATGGCTCAGTAGTCTAAAGCACCTACTTGGAACAAGCTTGGCAAAGCACAGGGACCACGGTTCAATCCCCCAGCACCACATGCCAGCCAGCCCCGCCCCCTGGTGGGCTGAGCTGGCCACACACACACACACACACACACACACACACACACACAATAAATAAATAAATAATTTGAAAAAAAAGAAAAGAAAAGACGTTCTACCTTGGTCATGTATTTTGGACTTGGTATTTTAGGTATGTATTATGAGTCCTTATTAGGACCACCACAGTGGTGACTGTCAACCTTTTTTCTTTGGTCTCCAGGGCATCTGTGGACACAATAGGCATCTTTTCGCCAGAACAGCATGCATACCCAAGATCCCAATCCCGTGTCATGGGTTTGCAGGCCTTCTGAGCCTGCACGCTAAGCTGTCCTCCCATATACAGGCTAGACACTGTTTGCAGGAGAGAGGAAGGGCTTGGGTGGCATTCCTGCCCTTTTATTCATTAAAAGAGATTGTTTTAAACAATAATTGTAGTGGCCTAAGTTCTTTTGTATTTTGAGCACTGCAGTTCAGGCGCCCCTAGAGCAGAGCCTGCCCCACCTGTGTGGCTGTGGTAATGGGCTCATTCGCTCTGCTTTTGCCTCAAGCCTCGCAGAATTCAACAACTATAACTTTTCACAAGTGGGACCTTGGAACTTCAGTTCATCTGCTCTTAGACCTTAAAAATTATATAAATGTGAATAAAAGTTCTAGCTCAGCATTTACTTCTCATTTTCATAGAGCTTTGGTTGAAAACAATTACTTAGTTGAGAAGTTCCCTTTTCTGATTTATTACCAAAGAAAAAATATTTACCTAAAGTCAATAGACCATCCTTTTATTCATTTAATTTTGCAAATATTAGATGAAAGTGTTGTAATATACCTTGAGTATAACAGGAAAAACATCTTCTCTTTGTTTACTTCAACTGAAAGAATTCTTTAGATGCAAAGATCTGTTGCAGGAGCTTTCCTACAAGCCAGAACTCCATGCTTTGTTCTGTGATTATGTTTAGAAAATCATTTCTTTTCCCAGATATTAATCTCTGAAGAGAATTGTGTGACCAGTTAGTGGAGCTGCTTTTGAGCCAGAGAAATCCACCTTAGATTGCTTAAGACCACACTTTTGCTGGGTTAAATAAATGTCAGCAGTATGCCGATGTCAGTCTCTACTTCATACTAACCTTCTCTCCCTCTCGTCTTTTTTTTTTTTTTTTTAAGTAACAATAACTCGATCTTAGCCAGATTTTTGTGCCCTGTGCAGAGGCTACCCCCCTCTTTCCAAACAGCATAATGTCATCCCTGATTTCACCCCCACCTCTAGAAAATGCTGGTGTTTGATTTAAAGGGGATGACGTTCCCGTGTAATTGGGTATGCTAGGGATTTAATGCTTGGAAGCATGTCGTTTGCTTTAAAGACCACATTTAACAAATCATTGTCTGCTTCTGATAATGTTGGGTTATTTGTTTTGGTAAGTGATGGAAGTACCATCTCTCCTCCTGCCCCATCTTCAGGTGATAATCTAGTCTTAGAGAGTGTGAGCTAACAAGTTGCTATTAGAGTTGATTTGTTCCCTAACCCATCCTGTGAATATCAATGCTAACAACAGTGTCTTGTGTTTTTTTTTCTTTTCCCCCCTTTTTTTTCCCGTTAAATCAATGTGCTTTTTACCTATGTGAATAATTATATGTCTAGAAACAGCCATGGAGTGATTTTGCTGTTCTGAATGGGGGAAAGATTAATAGTGACATTTGGAAGGCAAGTATCTTGTCAGATTTTAGATTGTTTAATATTTTGTTCCTTTCTGCATGGCTGTGGCTGTCTATTTTTCTCCTTCGTGAATATCATGCATTCTGCAGGGATGGAGTGATGGGGCTTCTTGCTCAGGGTGTGCAGCTCACACTCATGTCGCCTTTTTTGATGTCTCCCATTGTGAATGACCTGAAGCTGGTCGCCCAGGTCCCCCGTTGTTTTGTGAGAACAGGCGCTTGCGCACCGAGTCGGCCTCCAGCAGCCTTTGCATGCCTTTTTCTGCCTAAGCTCCCACACACTCTCCACCTTTGCTGGGGCTTTTTCTCCCCTTTGATATTTGAGGCAGTGGAAAGAGCCCCTTCTCCTTCTTGTACATTAACAAGGATCTGTTTTCCTGTAGGATTTGCATGCAGCTACAGTTAACCCAGATCCCAGTTTAAAAGAATTTGAAGGAGCAACGCTACGCTATGCATCTTTGAAGCTCAGGTAGGATGCTGGAAATGTCCCCAAGTGTGTGGCTTTTGCTACTCGTATTAACCATAGAACTCTAAGACTAGTTTTCTGTGTTTTGTTCTAGAAATGCCCCTCATGCTGATGATGATGATTCTTGTAGTATCAACAGTGACCCCGAAGCCAAGGTTTGTAAGAATCATGCTTTCAGCAATCAGGTTATTATATTTTTACACCAACATGACTTAGGATAATGGCCCAGTTTTTACAAACCATCAACCCAGAGCCACATAATAAGTAACTAGCCCATGATCCTTTCTCTTTCTTAATCTCCCAGACTTTAAGAAAATCCCTAAACCAGGTTAGCTTTGAGGGTATTTCTGTAACTATCATGACAGCCTGTTTCTCACTATGTCAGTTCTTTGCAAGTGTAATAAATTAACATTACTGCTCCAACAGGCGGGCTTTAGAATCTATTAGACATAGCTGACTCTGCTTGGGGGAGCCTTGGAGAGGAGGCTGGATAGGCGCCGGACAGGCCAGAGTGAAACTCTACCCCCTCCTCTGCTCCAGCAGCCTCAGCATGGTGAAATGGGTTTGCCATCGCTGTTGTAAGCACAGGTTGGAGGTGCTGTTTTAAGGTAAAAGGCGAAGGCTGGCATCTGTGTTCTACTTCTGGGCTTTTGGAAGCCATCATCAGCTTGTGACTGGTGCAATTGTCCACTGCCATGTGCTCAGATGGGCCTCTTATGTGAGGCTTAATGCTACATAGAAACTGTGTTGAAATTTCTAATAATTTGACTTGCATTTGTGTTTTATAACTGGAGTCCAGTGGGATAATAGAGCATGTACCTGGGTTGGGAGCTCTGGCTTATGGGAAGTCCTGCTGTCTTCCTTCTACCTGGGTGGTTCTTGGCTGCCTGGCCCATTGGCACCCTGCTGGGCCTCCCTGTCCTTACTGCCATCCAGTGACTCTTGCTTTCCACTGCCTCTGGGGCCTGGCCGTGCACATGGCGCTGTTTGGGGAGAGGCGTCCATCCTGTGGTATCTCAAGAGGGAGCTGGACTGGTAGCACTGCAGAATATCCAGCAGATACTCTTCCCAGTCTAGGAGCCTAGTACGTCCCGACTAGATGTCAGAGTATGCTGCTAGTCAGCTGTCAGTGGTTTTACATGATCTTTCTTTAAAAATGTTATTTCTTACTCAGGAGGCTGAGGCAGGAGGGGTCCAGGCTAGCCTGAGACACTTAGTGTGGCTCCTGCCTCAACATTAAAAAAAATGCTGAGATGATAGTTTCCTGGTGCCGAGATTGTCTAGGATACAAGAAGCAGTGCAGTAAATGTATTTCGTCGTTGATGGCAATGTGTGTGCAGGTTTATGTGTTATTCTAACCACTTTAACTTTTTTTATTTTGAAATAATTGTAGATCCATAGAAGACTTAGAGAGGCATGTGACTTCCCATATGTCCTTAGTCTTGTTTTCCCTAATATTAACATCTTCATACTCATGGTGCAGTGAAACTAGGTTCACACACACACACACACACACACACACACACACACACAAACGCACGCACGCGTCCTTTTTCTGTTCTACAACTCAAGCTAGGGCCCGGTGTTGCCTGTAGTGAGCTCTTAAAAAATTATTTCACATATTCCTTTCCACAGTGCTCAGGTTTGCTGTTCTTAATTCCAGTGTAACATCCCACTTAATTAATAGCAACATAATCTGTTTAGGCTCCAGTAGCCATGGGGGCAGTTTCCAGTACTGTATAGCAGAGCTACAACTTCATAAAATGTGACCTATTTTAAAATTACAGCTTTGGTAGAGGTTGCTAGAACTATTACCAGCTTTAGGTTTACCCAGGTTTATGGCTTACTGCAAAATTACTTTCTAGAAAGCATGTGATCCCACCAGTGCTATCCTAGAATATGCCTCCTTGTCTATATCCCAGCTCATGTTAGCCTTTGCCATTTGTGTTTGTCTTAGTTTTATTGCCCAGAGCTACTGTCCTCTAAAGCTGAACTTCTTCCCCTCCCTGGTCCCTCCCTCCTTCCTTCAAGGGGCCAGGGAGATGGCTCAGTAGAATAAGCACCTGCCTGGCAAGCGCAAGGGCCTGAGTTCAATCCCCGGTTCCGCAAAAAAAAAAAAAAAAAGCCAACCCAGTAACACATCTTTGGGGCTAGGGTGATGGCTCAGTGGAAGAAGCACTTCCCTGGCAAGCACAAAGGCCTGAGTTCAATCCCTGGTTCCACAAAAAAAAAAAAAAAAAAAGAGCCAACCCCCCTTCCTTCAGTCCCATCCCCAGTGCCCTTTGCATGCTGCGCGGTTGCTGTACCACTGAGCTACAATCCCAGCCCTACAGTTTAATCTTCTTGAAATTATCTTTGAAAGGACATTTCTTATGAAACTTAGATTTCTTATAAGGGAAGTTTTAACAGCTTTCCTCATCACTGGAACAAATATCTGACACCTACAGCCTAAGGGAGGAGAGGCTTATTTTGCCTGCCAGTTTCAGAACTTTCAGACCTGGCATGCTTAGTTGAGTCCAAGACCAGAATGGCATGGTGGAGGGGTTTGGGGCAGGATGGCTGCTCGTGTCATGGTGGCCCAGAGGCAGAAAGTTCAAGGAGGAGGCTGGAGGAGACCTCCACCCGTGCCCTCGGGGACCCACCCAAGCAGCAGCTCCAGTGCAGGGACCCGGATACAGTCGCTTCCACCAGCCCTGTCCCTGAGCTCGTGAGGCTTCAGGGGAGCTTCCAGATCCAAGCCACAACACTATTTCTGTCCACTTTTTAACTGTTTTCCTCTTAACTTAATACCTTTTAGTGCAGTCTTTGTTTTGAAATGACTTTAGATTTATAGAAACTTTTCAAAGATAATATTGAGCTCCTGTATCCCCTTCACCCACTTTCTTGATGTTCTCTTGTTGTGCACTGAGCTTTTATAAGGACAGTCAAAGGACTTTAGGTTCAGTTGCAACCAGAATCACCGAACAAATTCTGTGACCAGAATCGTGGAAAGAGTTAAGTTCATGACCGAAGCACCGCTGTGTATAAATTTAAAGGTACAAAGTGATTTCTCAATATTACATCATCTATAATCAAATTGTAGTTGTTAGAACTAAAAAGTTAACATTGGTGAAAATTAAAATTGGTACAAAACTACCAACTAGACACCTTCTTCTGTCAGCCTTTCTTCTCCTGCCCCTTTCCTGCTCCAGGATCTAACACAGGATGCCTTTATTCCTTGTGTATTTTTAAATTCACAACTATCTGCTATTGTAACCCTGAAAGTTTTTCTCTAAACAGTTCTTTTTCTATTTTGCGTCAGTTTTCCAAAGGAAAAAAAAAATAGCTTAAATATTGCTATATATTCAGCCCTCGTGTAGATCATTGTTTCTGGTGCCTCACTGTTAAGGAGGTAGCTCCTCTGTACCAGGTGTGGGTAGCCAGGTTGCTTGCACTTTGAAATTCCCATTATTTTACTATTGTTCCTTGCCTTCATCCCACTTTAATACTGTAGAACCTGGATTTAGCCCTTTTCCTACTGCATGTGGTATATTGTTGGCCAGATGCATGATTCACACTAAAGTAAAATCAAATTGTAGAAAAATTAATGTTTTGAAAAGCATACACTGGTTCTTTCCTCCTTTGTTAACTCTGCTCCAACTTCTGTAAAAGTGACATTCTGTCACCTGGTGGACAATATTGAAAATTACATTTTAGAGAAATTGGCTACATTGGATTTGTAATCTTAAAATTGGCGAAGCTGGATGTGACACTAAAAATGAAAAGCTAGCTTCTGGGGTTTCTCAGTTAGTGGAAGGGATGACATCAAAGGGGTGTTTCCTGAGGCTGTGACCACCATTATACTGTCTTTCTCTCAGTGTATGCAGAATCATTTTCATGATGCTTGAAAGGAAGTGGTTCTTAGAACATTTTCTTTGAAATAGACAATAAAAGAGATGAGTAGGAAAGCTTACACTGTCTCAGCTGTCTCCTTCTCTGGGCTTCAACTTGCTCATCTGTGAAGTGCTTACGTCATGTTAGAAGCCACTTCCGGTTCTGCGAAGTTGGGAGATTGCAGATGAAATGTAGCATCCTGACGTATAACATCCAGGAGCGGCTTAGCTCTGTCTGATCTACGTGCAAGTCTGGAGGAGGAAAAAGATGGGCCTTGAACCAGGGCAGCCGGGAGACTGCGAAGCACACACTCCACAGCCACCATGTGGTCAGGTGCCTTCCTACAGTTCTCTTGCAAACACAAAGCATCACAATTACCTCCCCATACTATAGGTAAGAAATTGATTTTGGTTTTTTCCTTTGGTACCAGGGATCAAACTCAGGATCTTGCGCTTGCCAGGCAGGCACTTATGCTGCTGAGCTGTCTCCCCAGCAAGAAACTGTTATTCAAAAAAAATTTTTTTTTTATTTATGTATTTGGTACAAGGTCTTGCTATGCAACTCAGACTCGTAGTGATCCTCCTGTCTCAGCCTCCCCAGCGCTGGGATTATAGGCATGCATCACCACACTGGTCTCGGTGGCCGGCTCGGCACAGAGCCGGCAGGGCATACAGTATCAGGGATCGAACCCGGGTCCTTGCACTTGCCAGGCAGGCACTTAGACCATTGAGCTATCTCCCTGGCCCAAAGAAACTGATATTTTAAAGAGATTAAATGATTTATTTTGTCACACAGTATGATAAACCAGTAATTGGTAGAAGTGGAAACTGGTACTCAGAAGTCCCATGCCTGTGCCTCCCAAGCCCAAGGCAGTGCTGCACCCACCTTTCTGACCTATTGGTTCCTTTGGCTTCCATCTGGGGGTGAGTAGCAGAGTTTTTGGAAGTAGGAATGGGTGCGGGGACTGGGGGGTCATTGTTTGAGGTTGAATCCCTTCAAGTACTCCTCCTGACTCATGAGGTCCAATCCTTTGGATGCTTCTCAGTTCAGTCTGGGGAGGGACAAGTTTTGCATTTCTCCTGAGCTCTCTGGTCATGATAGATAGTGCTGCAGGCCTACAGCACTGATTTTGAGTAACAACATTATAAAGCTGGCTCTGTGCCAAAATAAGTAATCATTTTTGCATGTCTTCTGCAGAGATTCGACACAGTCTTTCTCCACAGTATCTTCAGGTTCTTTCATGCCCATTGGCAAGCAGTGCTCAGCTGCTTAGAGATTTCTC